AAAGCAGTTTTTCCTACTTACATCTGCACTTCATCAATTCTTTCACCCTCAACATTTGCGCAGAATAATATGTTTAACTGGGTTTGGTAGTTCTGATTTTCCCTGGCAGGAACCAGGCAGCAAACCTGAGTCAGACTTAAAAAGAACAAGATTAGCAAGAATAAGCAAGAGAGGATCTGCCTGCACATTACTAACAGACTTGTGTCGTCCTAATCTCAGCCTTCTCTTTTTCAGATCCCTTTGTGAGAGCTTTTATCCTCTGGTTTTCTGAAAAACTGCCTTTATTTTCCCATACCTTCTGGAGAAGATGCCATAACATTCCAGAATTTTATGTTTACATTTATAAGCTTTCTCTCTTCTGAATCTAGATCTGCTCTAGATCTGCTTGAGATCACCAAACTGGAATCCTCTGAATCAGTGGCTGCACAGCTGCCATTTAACAATACAGGATGTTTCCTGAGTGATGCTTTAATGTGAACCAATCTTTCCTGTCCTACCTGCTCCATCAACATTTCTCTTTTAAATTAAATATGTTCAGACAGTAAAAAGTCATCAAAATTCTTGGGTTCACACTGTGTGTTAGTTATTATCTGAAGCCCTAATATCTGCTCAAGATAGTACATTAGAGGAAAAAGAATGATGAGGCTGTATTTATGTCTTGCTTTATTTGAAAAAGTGGTGAAAAAGCTGAAAAAAATGTTTTACATGTGCTATCCCATAGATATTGTTAGACCAGCAAAAAGATATGATTTCCTGTGGGTGTAGTTTTCTTCCAACAGGTGGAAGATAAGAGGAACTTGAAGGGTTTTGCTTTTTTTGTGGTTTTGTTTCTTTACTTTGTTTTAATATAATCAGTCTCCATTGATATTAATGGCTTTCTTTGTGGCAGAATGTCACTACACATGGATCTACAGAAGCAATACATCACATGTGTAATTCTAAGGAACTACATATAAAATAAACTTTCTTTTTTACTTTTAGAACATTCCATGTCGCGCCATTTCAATGGGTCAGGGCCAGGAAGTCCATGCAAGGCACCTGTTAAATCAGTGCATGCAGGATGGAGGCTGGCTCCTTCTACAGAACTGCCACCTTGGCTTGGAATTTCTTAATGAATTAATGGACACCATCACAACAAAAGAGTCTGTGAACGAAGATTTCAGAACCTGGATCACTACAGAGGCTCACCCAGAGTTTCCTATTAATCTTTTACAGTCCTCTATAAAATTTACCAATGAACCTCCTCAAGGTAGGAATTATTTCCTTTCCCATTGGAGAGATCACTGCTGGTCCAGGAAGGTTGGGCAGAAAGTAATGTTGGCTTCACTGTGCAGCTACTTGAAGCTGCCAGTCTTGGACATCACTGACCTATGTTCCTGGGCATCCCCTGGTCTTCTGGGCCTCCATGAACTTCCTTACAGCTAGGATCTTTCCCCACTTCCAGGATGTTTCCTCATATTCAGATGTTCATCTCATGCTTTCTGAGCCTCTAAACCCCCAGCTTTCCTAACCAACGTAGTCTAAGTGCAGAAGCACAATATGAGATCTGCATCTTAATTGGCAGTTTGGACTCATGTTTCTGTATTAATAGGGGTGCAAGAAAAACATGGATGGAATGAGTCCAGTGAGAACCCACAAAGATGCTGAAGGAATTGGAGAATATGCTAAGTGAGGAGAGGCCAGGATATATGTTGCCACTGGTTTCAGTTTATGATGTCAGTAGGAGTTAAGTATTTTTATCCAAGGTCCTATTTAAACCTTCAGACATTTAAACCTCTTATTTCAGTATTTAGCTTTGAACCTTAGTAAGATGTTTGTAACAGAATGTTTGATGTTGTGAAACACATCCTTTTTCAGCATTTATACTCCATCTCAAGAGCAGGCTGTCAGTCTGTTGATAAAAATGTCTTACTTCTTCCTCTTCTCCTTTCCCCACCTCCAATTCAGAGCTCAGCATCTTTTTATTTCACAGTGGCCCCCTCCTATCATTCTAATGGTAACAACCTATAGTTCCAAGAGGCTATTATAGAAGTCAAGTTATAGCGAATTTGCAACTTGCATTTAGCAGCTGAAAAAAGCCCAGTGTAAAAATTTAAGTCAGGATGAAATATAGACAGTTTTAGTTTCTTAAGACTGTCCTGTCATATTGGTAGCACAGTACAATAAGACACTTTTTTTTTTATTTGGAACCCTGTTATGATGCCCATTCAATATTTTGAAAAGCTATTTGTTTGAATATTGTTCTACAGGATCTTTGTGAAGTATGAACAAAAACAAAAGTACTTTTATTGTGTCATACGAAGTAGGATGACTTTGACAATCTTTTCACTGCACTTAAAATCTGCCCTTCTAGACTTGTGTGAAGCTGATTACCTGGAAAGTATCATAAGAGGGACCTGATGTCAGTAACTCATGCTTGGGTTGTCTGCCCAAGGCAAAAGATGCTTGAGTAGCACTGCCTGAAAACATCTGGGAGCAGTCAAACTTCTGTGTTTCATGGCAGCTGAGACTGTATCAGTATCAACTGCCTAAAGCTGTTCCTGGGATATGAAATGTCAGTGCTCAAACAAACCTCCCCAAGTATTAATATTTGCACTATGAATTTAGGTTCTCTTCTGTCACCTTGATGCCTGCTGGCCAGTTGAACAACCTGCATACAGAATTTTGAGATTTTTTTAGGAATCAAATCTAAATAAAATTATCTTAAATAAAACTAAAATATCTTATTATAAGTAAATATCAAAACAAACTCTTGGATAGCCAGTGCTATATTTCATATTATATTAGGTGTCTTTTTTATTGCCATATAGTTGCTAAATAATTATGTTTCTATTTCAGTTGTATATGGGATCATTTAGAATATGAATCCATAATTTTAAATCATTCCAGACTCATTAAATTAATTTTTTGTGTTATCTACCTAAAACAAAATGTTATTGAAGTTTGCCTGCTATCACCAGCTGAACAGATAATTGATTCTAAGACATTATTTGAAGGTATAAGTAAGATGATACTGTAAATTGGAATAGAGAATTATGCTTAACAGAGGTTGGACTTATGGATTCCATACATTTTTTTTGCTAATGTATTACATTTTTATGTTTACCTTCTAGGTGTGAAAGCTGGCTTGAAACGAACATACTCAACTGTTACTCAGGATCTTCTGGGAGCAAGCAAAATGCCACAGTGGAAACCATTGCTATATGCTGTAGCATTTCTTCACACAACTGTTCAGGTTTAAAAATATATTTCTTCTCTTCTGTCATAAAGCGATGCTTCATTTATTAATGAACCTTGTTATTAAATGAGAAGTATTGTTAAAGGGAAGTTCCATGTTGGCATATTAACACAAATAAAATAAGAAAGAGAACAACACATCTTTATTATTGCAACTGTGTTAGAACTTATAATTTTGCTCATATTGGTCCTGTACGTCCAACAGGGATGATGTTTCAGAGGAAAAAAAGGACAATCAAGCAATGATCAATTAGAGTACTCTTCTATTAAAGTCCTTGTCAATGACTGTGTGATCTGTCTTTCAACTAACTGGGCTTTTACTAATATTTTAACTCATAAAACATATTAAAGAAATTTACAATTTGTAGTTTGGAAAACCATAGTCTCAAAGTGCTGCATCCACAATCAGAAGGCATTAAGACGGTGAATATAAATCCTTTCTGCTCTGAAACCTGTAGGAGGAAATGAAGGTTTTGGGTCTTGACTTTCAGGACTTCCATTAAAGAAAGTGCTTTATGGATTAACCACAACTTTTCATCATTCTATCAATAGATTTTGCAATACTCTTAGTTTATATTTGGAGCCTGGTTAATTTAGCTCTGTGGCATCCATGCACTGATATATTGTGGTCCAGTGGAAGCCTGTGTTAAAAAATAAAAATTTGCAATTACCAGATATTTCCCTAACCCTACCTATGTACTGCCATCTGAGTCTGTAGATGGTTCACTAAAAAGCAGTTTTTCCTACTTACATCTGCAC